TTTTTTTTTTTTTTTTTTTTTGTTTTATTTTTATTTTTTGTTTAGAATTAGTAAAATAAATTTGTTTATTTTTTCTGCTTTCCTATTTAATTGTTGACGCCTAAATTTTTAACCATTACTTTTTGGTAATAGTTTTTTGACTTCTGATTAAAGTGACGTTATAAAATTGCCACGGCAGGATCTATGCTTTATTCCTGTATATTCTAGTCATCGTTGAACTCAAGTTTGGTGTCAAAAATGGGAGTTCCAAAATTCTACCGATGGCTAAGCGAACGTTATCCATGTCTCAGTGAGATCGTTTCTGCTGGCCAGGTCAGTTTAAACGACGAAATTTTTGTTTCGTTATTTATTTGCTTGTTTACAAATTCTTTAGATGTTATAATTGTTGGTAATTCTGTCACATTGCTGTCGTGTTGAAGAGTACTAAATTTTTTAGTTTTAAAATAAAATTTTAATCTTTCACTATTTTTCCCTTTAGATTCCTGAATTTGATAATCTTTACTTCGATATGAACGGTATTATTCACGGTTGTTCGCATCCTAATGATGAAGATGTATTCTTCAGGATTTCAGAAGAGGAGATTTTTCGTGATATATTTCATTATATAGAAGTAATTTGGTTTCTTTTGACATGTGTACTTTTAGTTCACAGCGACCTGCTTTGTTACTAATAACTTTTTAGACTCTTTTCGGGATCATATGCCCCAAAAAAGTCTTTTTTATGGCTGTAGATGGAGTTGCTCCTCGTGCAAAGATGAACCAGCAGCGTGCTAGGCGTTTTATGTAACTTTTGTGCAATACTCTATTTTGAACACTATTTCTTCCCGTTCATACAATATTGCTTTGACTCGCCTTTTAAGGTCTGCCAAAAATGCGGAGATGACTTATAAACTAGCGGCAAGTAGAGGAAAAGAAGTTTCGCAGGAAGGGCGTTTTGATTCAAATTGTATTACTCCTGGTAAATTCTAACTGTTTTGCTCAACGCAGTCGCGGTACCCTTATTTTTAAGTTTAAATATTTTTTCAGGTACTCAGTTTATGGCGCGGTTGCATACCCATTTACAATATTTTATTCAGTACAAGATAACAACGGATCCATTGTGGCAGGGAATCCGCATATACTTATCTGGACATGATGTTTGTCTTAAATTCGTAGTTTTTTTGCTTTTTTTTTTTTTTTTGCGGCTCACGTAATTGGATTTGTTTTTCAAGAATTTTTAAGTGTATTTTATGCAAAATACTTCCTGCTTTTCTTGTTTAAGGTTCAAGTCTTATCATTATACAATAACTTTTATTTTATATTTTGTTGATTTGCAAGAGAAGGCTGTGATGCATATTCTGCTATATTTTGGGTGTTTTAGTGCAGTAATTTTTTTTTCTTTACTTTTTTAATTCTCTTGGCTGTACTTATCTCAATTTTAGTGCCCTGGAGAAGGTGAACATAAAATTATGGATTTTATTCGAACTGAACGATCGAAGCCAGATTATGATCCAGATACGAGACATTGTTTGTATGGTCTCGATGCTGATTTAGTAAGCGTATTTTTCATAACTAAATAAATAGATGATGTCAAACTTTATTTACAAGTTATAGATAATGCTTGGTGCCTGCTCTCATGAACCGCATTTTTCTCTTTTAAGAGAGGAAGTTCAGTTTGGTCGCCCTAGAAATAATTCGAAATCACAAAGGTATTTTTTGTTTAGCTGCTTATTGTGAGTACTAACACTTATTTCTTTGTGAGGCCTGCTTCTCTTTCTCTTGCTTATTTAGAACAAGTGTCGAAAAAACCACCTTTCATTTGCTTCATATCTCGCTCTTGCGCGAATATCTTGGAATGGAATTTAAAACACTCGAGGTTAATGGTATATTTGTTTTTTGATAAGTAACTGAGTAAAACTGGTAAACAATAAATAGGAGTTATATATTTATCTTTTCTTTCCACTTGACATTTTTTAATTTTATTAGGATTAGAAACTTCATAAGTTATTAAGAACAGAATTGAGTTACAGTAGTGCGAAATAGTTTTAAAAACTCTTAATGTTTGTGGTTTTATTAAAAAAGGCTATTTTTTAGGACAAAATTTCGTTTAAGTATGACTTGGAGTCCATAATTGATGACTGGGTAATGTTAGGTTTTCTAGTAGGGAATGATTTTATTCCTCATCTCCCATATGTTCATATTCATCAAGATGGTCTTGATGCCTTGTACAATACCTACTTAGAAGTGCTTCCGCGACTGGATGGTTGGCACGGCATTAATATTTAATTAACTATCAAAACAACCTTATAACTTACTTCAGTTACAAAGTTTATCGTGGTTGCTTTGATTCCTAATTACTTTTCTTCAATCCTTTTTTTTGAAAATAATTTTTTTTTTGAGTTAGGGACGGAGTTATACTCTGTTTTATAGGTTATATAAACGAGAATGGTATATTGAACCTAAAAAGGTTTGAAATTTTTTTAAAATCTTTCTCCAAAAACGATCGGCGCTGTTTTGTCGTTGAAATGGATGATCTTACTTATTTGAAATCCAAACAAGCTGGAGATGCTGCAGCGTTCAGATCTAAGAGGGTGGAAGAGGTATCTTCAAAATGTTTTTATTTTCTAGTTGTTTTTCCTCATTATTATCAGAGCAAATTGTTGCTCTTGTGAAGGGTGAGGGAGTATTAGTTCGAATAATATTTTTTATTACGACTATCTTTTTTTTCATTTATAAATTGTTTTTTCTAGAAGCGGGAAGAAGAAATGGTTGCTTATGAGCTCTCCGACGGCGGTAGTGTTTCTGAACTTGCTTCGTCAGAACCGGAAACAAAAGGAGTGTTTGATTCAGAAACAGATGAAGAAGATGACGAATTTAGCATTGCTCAGGCTGGTTTAGAAAGTGCTGAGTGTGATATCATCCCTTCTGCCTCGGAGGTGTTAGACGGTGAATATTCATTGCACATTCCATACTGATTCTTCCTAAGCTCTACTTATTTCTTGCGTATTTTAGTTTTAGACTTTAATATGAGGGATTTAGTTTCACTGTAACACTTCAATAGCTTTATAAGTTCTATTTTGAACTATTTGAGTTTCATTAAATTTAGAAGGTCATGTGGCAGCTTCGTTTTCTACGGAGGAATATTTTGAGGATTCCATTGATGAAAAGAGTTACGAGAATAGCTTGGACGTACGTTTGGTATTTATGGGATTCTTGTTTCTTTTAAAAATTGTATTACTATTTCGATTTTTATTATGCTGAAACCAGAAAGAAATCTGTCTTGCCTCCGCTTATTAAAATGGTTTGGAAAGGGTTATGTTTTGTTTAGCCTTATTTCTTGAGTGCTTATCATTTGTTTACTTTTGTTTATGCTGGAATGGGTCTGAATAACATTACTCTTGTAGGCAGTATGGACACCGTCTGTTAACAGAGCGTTCAAGCACCATAAGCGGGCGTATTACACTGAGAAGATGAAGTATAAGAATATTAGTAAAGAACAACTACAAGAGCAAGCTGAAGGTTACGTTCGTGCCATTCAGTGGAATCTTCATTACTATTACCATGGTTGTTGCAGCTGGAATTGGTGCGGTTTTTTTAGTAATGTAATTTCGTTTAACTCAGAAAGCGTCTGTATTTTTTTCTTTAACGCATTATATTATTTCAATTTAGGTTTTACCCTCACCATTATGCACCATACATATCAGATGTTTTTAACTTTTCCGATATGAAGTTGGATTTTGAACTTAGTGAACCGTTCCATCCATTTGAACAACTATTAGCCGTGCTTCCGGCAGCTAGTGCAAGTTGTCTGCCTGTTCCATTTCAGGTGATTTATTTTTATCACGTTCAGATTTTTTTTGTTGGTTTCGCTTATTTGGTAAAATTAGTCATTTTTGGAAAATTCACCACCTGCATTTTCATTATAGGAACTTATGTTAGACGAATCTAGCCCTATATACGATTTTTACCCTCGCGAGTTTCTTACTGATTTGAACGGAAAGAAGAATGACTGGGAAGCAGTTGTTTTAATTCCGTTTATTGAAGAAAAGAGATTATTAGAAGCAGTCGCCACTAAGACAGCCCGACTGACGGAGGAGGTGGCGGAACAAAAATTTTATTTCTATTTTTTTCATTTTTTAGGGGATGCTCAGATGTTATCCTCTTTATTGTAATGGATTACCTCGTCAAAACGGAAGTAAGAAGTTTTTACTCATTATAATAGCGATTATTTTAGGAACGCTTAAGGAATTCGCATGGTCCGCATTTGCTTTTCACAACCGATTTTGAAAATCCCGCACGTCTTGATTCCTCCATACCCGAAGTTTTAGAGAGCATGGAGAATTGTGTGGCGAAGTAGGGATTAGTCGTATCATTTTTGAACATTTCCTATTTGAGGGGTGATGTAAATTCGTCTGGCTAATTTGTTTGCTTAATAATTTCCTTCCAGTTGTACATTTTTAAGTTGATTCTGGTAGCTTTCTTAACGTTTTAGAAAACAAGAAATCGATATGAACGAGTTTCGAATAAAAAGAAGCCAAATAGTTTACGGACTTTTGCCTGGTGTCCATCTCGATGTTTATTTCCCTGGTTTTCCAACAACAAAACATATACCATATACTTCTGAATTACGACATGCTAACTGCTGTATTTTCCAGCAACCAACTCTGAAGAAGTCAATGATAATGTCCATTATTGAAAGACCAGAACTTCAAAAAGTATTTTTCAAATAACATTATTCAAAAAAACCTAATTTCATTTACGCATTGTCCACTCTTGACAGAGTTTTCTTAGACTCTTTTCAGCAAGACATTTAATGGTCACTTAAAGTTATTAATTAATAGTTTTTAAGGATTTTTCATCAATCGCTTCAGATTTACTTGGGAAAGAAGTGTATGTAGAATGGCCTATTTTAAAGAAAGGGCTTGTTCATCAGTTGTGGACCAGTGATTCCAAGTAACTGTATTAATTTTTTCCTACATCTCTTTAAATTGCATTTCAAGCAAAGTCTGTGATTGCCATTTAAATGTTCTTAAAATCTTTTTAAAAGTGCTGATGGTTTTTGGGGAAGGACTGTAATGTAATCTGTAAAAAAATATAGAAATCTTATTGAAATTATAGATGGCTTTTGGGGGATGATGGTACAGTAGCTTGTGAGGAACTTGATCCGTTGGAGAGCGGTGCTTACCAGAACCACTGCAATGATCTTGTTAAACGGTACTTTATTTTTTATGCTTTTTGCTGTTGGTTACTAATTGTATTATCTTCAATTGTTTAGCAAGTTTCCGAAAACTTTTTTGGAAGCTCTAAGTGCTTCTCAAATTTCCTTTTTGATTTTTAGATGGGATCACAAAATTTTGCAGAATTTGCATATTTTATTCGTGTCATGCGAAAGTGTTTAACTGTTTTCTGTATTCTTCATTGCTGCTGCAAACACATTAGTAATATACCCCATGCATTGCAGCTGGATGTATTTGTCATAAATAAGCGCAAGATCTGTAAAAATATTCTATAAATCATTCGTATAGTAATTTTTAAATAGACGGAGACCGTCTTCCTCTTTTGCAAAAAAAAAAAAATTATTTTTTTCTTTTTTTTGAATAGAATATTGCTGCCACCAGCTATCTCCAAATGTAGTAATCTATTTTAGTAGCTTCCAGTCACTTCTTCCTGAGGACTAGGTAGTTTCAAAATTACTTTGGTTTTGTTTTGGAACAGTTGATGACCAATATTTTCTAGAGTGTGGTAATAGCGTTGAAATAGATAGAACGTTAAGTTTTTGTGTAAAAAGTTGTTGTGGAGATCCCCGTCTCAGCTTGAGAAATCCTGATGTCGTCTAATGCTTGCTCAACTTTCTAATTAAAGACTTACCGCTCGTTCAGTACTCATTTCGCATGGTTTAGTATGTATAAATTCTGATCATGAATATTTCACTTCCATTTAGGTTTGCAAAAAACCTGTCTATTACTCTTGCTAGTTGTTTTCTATTGTAGGTTATCTGCTTTTTGGTTTTTCTTGGAGGTCGTCTGCTCATTTCAGCAGTGATTTAAAATTCGTGTGTTGAAGTTTAATACCGTTATACTGTTCGGGAAGTTGGTTGTTTGAAAGCGCTTAACAGATAATTTCATGGAGTAGAAATCAGTGGCATGCTTATGACGAATAAGCGTGCTTTCCGGTCTCATATTTATTCAGTGCACAAAACCGTCTTTTTCCATCTTTTTGAGTACCAGATGATACTACGACTGGCTGACGGTGGATCCCATTTGTAAACTGAGACCTATTTAAGTTCTGTTTGAAAACGGGGCATTCAACTGCGCTTTTTGGAACTTCGTTTTAATAATTTTGATCTTTATATTTTAACTTTTATTGTTAAGGGGCATTCAAGTAAGTGTCAACTTGGCTAGAAGTAATCTCAGCAGTATGGAGTTGATTTTATTTGGCCGGTCGTAGTATTTGCATGTTTCTCAGTTTCATTGTAATGGATTTTTTTGTGTCTTTATAGAGAACATGTTCCAGTGAATACAAGCGCTTCGGGATCGAAGTTGGAGAAAGGAAAGCAATTGTTTTTGCTAAGTCTTTAGTTGGCATATCTACCCTAGTTGAACAAGAAAAAGTCGTTGTACAGAAAACGTGGACTTCTGATCTTGACTTAAAGGTTTATTCTCTTCCGCTGGTTGTACAGGTATTTCTCTCTTTCGATTTTCTTGTGCCAGTTAAAATAAGTTTAGAAAGTATTGTTGAATTTATTCCATGCATTTACTTTTTTTTATATCTTCTCTCTTCACCACCGGATTAATTTTGTTTTACTGTTTTGCACAGCAGTTGGAGCAATTCCGTTGGTAATGCATGTGATTTGTTATGATTCGGCTTTTTTAGAATGTGTTAGAAGACCGGCGGATGTATCCAAATATGACATCCATTACGGAGGCGTTTCCTGTGGGATGTTCGGCATTCTTTTCTAACACGAAAACAAAGTTTTACGGCTACCGAGTGGTAGTCGAGAGCAGCGGATTTCTAAAAAAGCAATGTAACCAAACACTTTGCGAACCATTTTTTTTGTCAAATTTATTGGTATTTCATCTTTTCAGCTACTGCCATCTGGCTTAATCGTTTTAAAAGTATTTTTCATTGCAGGCGTGCTTAAAGTTCGCTGTACTTTACCGATAAACGATCTAGAGTTAACGCATTTAGCTTTCAATATTAAAAGATACTCTGTTCAGTGGTTTCATATTAATTTAGTTGCCCGTCGTACAGCTTGTAAGCTTTCTTGTTGTTACTTTGTTCTGCAAAATTTTGTATTCTTCTGAAGCTGGAACGCTTTTAGTGACTAGAAATATTGTCAGCCGCATTACCGGCCATGTTCCCTTAATCATGACCACGGCAGCGCAGTATGGCTCTAAACAGGACCGAGCAGAAAGAATGAACATTGGTTTATGTCTGAAAAATCCGAAGAAAAATTTGGCGGTACCGTGAAACTTAGCCAAAACTAGAATTCAAAATGTAAAGCAGATGCTGTTGAAAAAACTTGTGTAAAGTATTTTTTTTAAGATCCCAGGATTTGCGAAACGGATTAATGACACTTGGGATTACTCGTTTAAAACAGTCCGTGTCCTTCTCGAGTACCGCAGAAGGTTTCTTTTTTTCTCATAATTTCTGCTTTTTTTACTTCTGTTTTAAATAATTTGAAAGATTTTTTGATCCTCTTCTGTTACGACCCTCTTCTTCTATTTTGAAGTACTTGGTAATTCTTGATTTTAAGAGACCTCTATATGATGCAATTTTCCAACATTTTATTAATTTTCATTTTTCTTTGAATATGTTCGAATTCTTCTATCCTTAAGTAAACGTAAACGTCACCAGATAATATTGCCGATTTTTAAGAGGTAAATTTCTGGAGGGAACAGAGTGGAAAGTTTATTTTTATTGATGTTAAGAGATCGTTAAGTGTTAGGTCTTATTGCTAAATAGCAGGCTTTTTTTGAAGTAATTGAGAATAAAAGAACTGAAAGAAGGCATAGTGAAAAGTTGTTGATATTTACTTAAAAGAAACTATTTTTTATTAGGATACCTCATGTGTTCGAAAGGCGATGATTTGGAAAATAAATTTGCGGTAGCGTAGCTTTTTGTGACTGTGGTCTTACCTTTATTGCTAGGATAGCTTCTGTAAAGTTGGAGAAGTTCAGTAGTTGATTTCCAGATTTCCTGAAGTTTTTAACCACTTACAACACCCGACACGAGTAACTGAGGCATATTTTGCTGAAGAAATATGGAACGATCCAGTTGAAAGGGAGGCACGCACACGCGGTGTGTTAGATTCATAACTCATTTCGTTTTAATTCTAAAATGGGGCTTAATTGTTGTGGAGTCCATCTGGTCAATTCCCCTAAATTTATTATGTGGTTTTATGCTCTTTATATAAAGTGAAGAAAACAGTAAATGACTCTCGTTTTGATTGATTCAGAGCGCTTGATTTCTGATTTGTTGACATGAAATACCTTTTTATATCTTTAATTAACTCTTTTTGAATTGCCGGTTTTACCAATTAGGTCTTCCTTTGTTTTTTTTAGAACTCTCAGAATTTCTGAAATCTCTTCCTTCTGCATCGATGAGTATGGAACCCGCTGATGGTAATTTTCTAGATGACAGTGCTATAAAGGAAGTTGAGCGAATAGTTTCTTCAACTCCGAAGCAGTTTAAAACTAAGCATTTTGCAGTCAAGCCGTCTATGCTTTTTCGAGTAAGTGTTTCCTCTGGGGTTTTATAGGCTGTAGTATGCTGTATTTATCAAATCTTTATGAATGTTTATTACATATTTAAATGGATTAATCTGCTTAAGCTGGGCAGTTTTGAAAATTTTAGTGTCAAATTAGTTTAGTATTCAATGGATTTGTTTCAGTCTGGGAAATAAAAAATGTTTTACGAAATTGATTCTGTTAGAAACTGTCATGAAGAAGTTCTTCTAAGATATTTTTTATTCTAGAATTCTGGAAAACAATGAGAATTCTGCAGATTTGTTGTTTAGAATTTTTCTAAAGAATTGTCGTATTTTCAAAGTTATGCGTAGATTTACTGGACTTGAGGGGCTTTCACAAGTTGTATTTTTTAACGAGATTCAGATTAGCGTGGAGGCAGATCGGCTAGTTGTAACGAGAAGAGGAAGATTAGGAATGCAGTTTTGCTTTGAAGTGAAATGGCAAATAACTTGTGTGTTTTGCATCATAAATTTGTTGATAATTTGCTTTAAAAAGGTTTTCGCAGTACTTTCTTTTCTTTTTTTAGCACGAACTTCACACTGGGAGGACGTTGCCAGATCCAGATACGAAGTTTGAACTGCTTGACCGCGTGGTTTGTGTCAGACCCTTGAGAGGAGCCCCATTTTCAGGGCTTGGAACGATTATAGGAATTACAGTCGTTAATGACACTCCTGAAGTAGATGTGCTTTTCGATGAATGCTATTTTGGTGGCAAATCCATACGGTATTTTAAATGCATTCTTTCTTTGGTTCTATTTTGCTCTGTTTTTAGGTGCTGCACTACTTCGCAGTCCTTTTCAAACTGATATCGAAAATTTAAAATTTGGTTAGCTAGCGGGATTGGTCTTTATTTGTAGAATCAGGAAACTTTATTCAAGGTAGCAGATTACCTAAGAAGTTAAGTTGTTTGAAGAGACAGAAGAAAGATCAATTTACCACAGAAGATAGCTATGTTTGGCTTGTTCTTTTTTTTACGCTTGGATGACCTTAAGATTCCTTTTTCGTTTGGCGCTCTCTCTTAAGTAATTTAGGATTTTGGTTTTATTCTCTTATAATTTTTTTGCAGCTTGCTGACAAACTAAGACTTTATAGGTTATATCGGAAAGTCAAAGCTAAAATTTTTATGCAAGCATTAGCCAGATCCGTCTAATAAAATTTGTAAGATTTCATAGTCATGTTGTTAGCCGTGCACAAGTTAGAGGAAACGAGATGTGACGCAAATTATAAGGCTTGCGTTTTTTTTTTTTTTTTTTTTTTTGACAGGTTTTAGAGAATTTCAAGGCGTTGGTGTGATTTCTTTACACTGGAGTAAGAATTTGCAAGAATGGGCTAATGTGGTAAAATGTTAAACTGATTTGCAGTGAAGAAAGTTAAACGTTTTTAAAAGTATTCGTGTCTGGTAGAGTAACTAGAGTTTTAAAACTAAAGTTGGAATATCAAGTGAAAAATTGTGTAGAGCGCAACGCTTATATGCTTTTTATGTGTTTGTATTTTCTGTATATGTCAACAGTTCTTGTAAATTTGTTTTCATTCTTCTTTGGCAAGGAATTGTTTTAGTGGAAGCAGGAGTAGTGCCTGTCGTCTGCCTAGCTATGCACTGATAAACATTACTCACGGAAAAAGGGTGAGAAACGAAATAGATGTCCCCAAAAACCTCAAAATTGCTAGTCCAGAAAAGACAAGGGTTTGGAATTCCAATTTTCGTCCTTTAAACCTTCAAAAGTCATCTACTCCTGCCTTTGCTTCTGGTGGAACAAGAGATATTACTCAGTCGTTATCAGCACCTGTTAGAGATGTGGTAAGTGAGTTACTGAAGTCCCTAATGCTTTGCTTTTTGTAACGGTACATTTGGAACAGATCTACGTCTGTGTTAATATCCAGTTTTTGTTTGCGGATGGTGTTTCACACTAGATTATGCACGTGCTGCAACTATTATATTTCATTTTCTTATCTTCAAAGACTCAACTTTTCAGAAAATACAACTTTTAAAAAAAAATCCTTTGGTGCCTGAAAAAGGGGTAAATAGTTTTTTGGAAGCGAGAACTAAAGATGTGAAATCTGAACCTAAAATGGAACAGAACCCCTGTTCTCCTCTGATGAAAGAATCGCTTGAAAATACGTTTTCATCATTTCCGTCTACCAGTACTGTCGTTAAAAACGGACTTTCAGTGGTCACTCCACAACTGAAACAAGTAATTAATTTTGGTGCCGCTAGTTTTGAGAAAAATATTTTGTCTAACATTTTTGTGGTTGTGACACTTGCTCATTAATTTTATTATATAAATGACTCAGATACGGCAAGAAGCCTCTGGTGAAGTGTCGGGAACAATACCTCGTAATGACTTCAGTGCTGGTGAGAAGGACTCAGAGAAACGTTTTGAGGAGTTGTTGAGAAAATTGAAATTGGGTCGCGACAACCAAGTAAGGCTGTTTTTAGTGAAAATTACATTATTATTTGGTCATGTGCCAGACAGATTTCCTGTAAACTGCGTAGTGTTAACGTCTTTCTGTTACTGAAATCTCTACATATTTTTATTTTTTTGAGAAAACGATTATAGACATATGAAATGAAGGCGTCACCTTCCGCAAATCAACCGAACACTTTGGAAGAAGTTCATCCAAGGCAGACATTTTTGCCGAGCGAAAAATACTTATCAGGGCGAGCGCTGCTTTCTGAATTAGTCGTTGAGGAGGCGCAGCTTGGTGTAAGAAAAAAGCGAAGTAATAAATTTAATGTTTTTTCGCACTCTTTTCCGAGTACCGTGAAACAGCCTCCAGTCACGAGATCTGTTAGCTGTGGTCATCCCTCGTCGGAAATGGGTTTTAATTCAAGGCCAAAAAAACAGTATTTTGATATGTACAGGACTCAGAGACAGAAACCTTCAGATTTCTATATACCGTACAAACCTCGACGCCAAGCAAATTGTTCTAAAGGGTTACCTCCTCACCGACTGAAACCATCATTTACTAACAGAACTTATCCTACTCAGAAACCGGGAAGTTCTTCATGTTCTTCTAATTTACCATCAAATTCTATGGGATGGGGTCGTCCTCCTACTTCTTCACTATTTACTGCTTTGAATTTCCATGGCGTGTCATCGGTAAAGCTTGAGTCTCTTAACGAGGGTCATTCGTTGCCGAATAACATGACACCAACTCAGGTTGGCCCTTATACATAGTTAGATTTGTTTTATTAAAATGATTTCTCGTTTCTCCTTTATTTCCGGTACTTGCGTTTGATACCTTCTGGAAACTCACCAGTGTCTTTTATAATTTGCTAGTCTAATTTAAGGTTATAAGGAAGGAGCGACTGCGAACTATGCCTAAGGACAACGAAAGCAAGAAGCAGTCTACTCTGTTGGCTTCACCAGTGAAATTGAAAGAAGACCAGGCATCGTGTACATTTGGCAATTCCGAAGAACCTTCACATTTGCTGAATCTGGCTGGAGTTGACGCTGTCTCAAGCTGCACTGAATCAGATAAAAAGGATGATGGTATAGGGAAGGTTGTTAAAAATGAGTGTGCTGAAAAGGCTTTGTCAGATACTGAGTCCAACTCGCTGGGTTTCGATTCTGTTCCAGAATTAAAAATTCAGAGTGAACCAGTGCTGCTTTTGACTTCATTAAGAACGGATGCCAAGAGCTCATTCGGGGCTAATGAAACAACCAGTTCTGAAGGTAGCAGCTTATTTCGCTCTGCCGAAACAGCCAAATGCACATTGCGGGAAGATGGTGAGAAGACGTCACCGAAGGTTGTCGAGAAGCCAAAATTTAGAGGCCTTGCAGGAAGGAGGTCAAGAATAGCTGCAAAGTTTAGCTAAACGCCTGACTCTTTCCTATTAAATTTGGATTTTGTGTGTTTGTTTTTACCGTTTCGAGTATACAGTATTTGCTTTCAGGTTGTGCAGTAACATAACTAGAAGATCATTTATTAAGTTGACTTACTTTTTTGGTAGTGCTTTTAGCTTGCGGGTCTACTTCGTTTAATATTTTTCGCTCAATTGTGGCGGTCGGAAGTTGATTTTGTTATTTTGCACAATTTTGTCACTTCCTTTGAGTTCTCAGTGGCTTTTTTCTTGACAACATTTGCTCCTTATTAATTTTCACCAGTTTTTTCGATTTTTCTTCAATATGCATTTTCTCTTTTATTTTTGTTTTATTTTTTTCTTTTTGGATGAACTAAAACCTCATGAGAGGAATGTCGTTTGTTCAGCTCGTGAGATTTTGTTTTGATGCCAGTACTTAATTGCGTCGGAAACGTTCTCTGTATATAGTTGCGTGTTCCTTTAAAATTGCTAACTAATGCTGTATGTTGTTCGCCGTGCAGGTCATCTCAATCCACCTCTTCTTCGTCTCTGTTATCAATAACTTTGGAATCTGATGTGTGAACATGTGAATGTGAATGTGCGTCTATAAAATATAGAACTGGTCTTTTATATTATTCTTTTTATTTTTAGCCATCACTACTTTTTTTCTGCCTTGTGATATCCAAGATGTTCTGTATCAAAAGACGTGTGCTTAATTCTTTGTGTTTTGTGAATTTGATGGTCTGCTTAAGTGCTAGACAACTGCCTGGGAAGTTTGGGCAGTACTTTTTATTGTAACTGACAAAAAATTTTTTGCAACAGAGATTATTTTTGCTTATTTCTTTCAATTTTTATTTTCTTTATCATTTCGATTTAATATGCTTTTCTGAGGTTTAAAGTACTGGTATTGGGTAAGTCCATCTTAAGTCTTGGCTTTTACGTCGAGCTAATCACTTGGAATTCAAAAATACGCGTTCGTGTCAGGTAAGTTTTTGTGAGATTATATTTTGATTGCTGTTGAATTCTTATAGAATACGTTTAAGAATATTTGTAAGACAGGAGCATAGGCTTTTGTGACGGTCATTTTTTTGGTTCAGAAGGTATCTTGGGCATTTCAGCTTAAACTGAGCACTTTGAAGTTTACTACACCGAAGCTTTGTTTAAATTCACAATTCTGTTTTTTGTAACTGGTGCTTTCAGTGTACATTTAAATTGGTTTTTTAGAAATAGTTATGAATGTTTGCATTTTATTCGTCTCAACGGCAGCTGATTTCATGATTTGTGGATTCACTTTTACAATTCTTGTTTGTCTGTCACTTGTTCAATAAGTGGGCGTTATGATCTTCAATGAAGGCTGAGGTAGTTTATTTGGCGATGTAGTTTGTGTGACTGGGAAATTGGAATGTGATTTGGGTTTTGATAATGACTGCTTTTAGTGTAGATCGAATTGACTCATTTTCTAGCTGTCAAGTGAATGGGCGCGTTATGATGCATAAATTGCTTCCAAATTAAGTATATTAGGTTTACAACGTTAGGCATCTTCTGTAGCAGCATTTGACGATAAAACGATGAACGCGCTAATATGGGCTACGCTGTGCATTTGCTTGCTCCTCGCTAGCTAACCGCCGGTGTGAACTTTAGTGTGGCGGGTTCTTCATCAGTCTCTTCGGCTTAGAAGGGATTCCTGAGTCTACCGGTTGTTTATTTGGAAGTAAGTCAAGCTTAAAGATTACAGTAGTAAATTGAAGGTAGGAAGGATTACTCTGTCCCCTTTATCACTCTCCCTGGTTTTGGGGCAGTAAATATATTTTGCAACACTTATTGTCAAGCCTTTCAGCTTTCATTCTCAAGCATCTGAGATCAGAATTTGCAGGCAGCAAACGCATTTACACATTCCTGTTTTGGTTTTAAGATATTTGCTCGTAATTTTAGCCCTGAGTCACATTTGACCACTTAACCTCAGGAGTAATATAATCAGTTGGTTAACAAAGAGTGAATTCTTTGCGACTATTTAACAGGGTGCATAACTGAAAGACTCGTCTACAATAAGATAAAACGTTACTACGCAGAAGATATAATTATTTCTTTACAAGACTGCGATGTTTAAAGAAAATTCTGTCCTTAGCGTTTCCAGAAAATGATCTCGTTTTGCCGTTTTGGGGCCGCGTGAAGATTAGCTTCTGGTAACCGTGACAAATTTTACAGTGTTATTAGCTCTGCTGCCGTCATTTTTTTAGAGGTCTTTAAATACAAATAGTTGGTGCAAGGAAAGTGTAGCATGCTGTTGTTTGGTTGGTAGGGTTAGGTTGTTGCTCTGCGTTTGAAACTCCAAGGATGTTAGAAGTTTTTTACAAGCACTTTTCGTTAAACGCCAAGGTTTGGAAGAGGATAGCCTGGAAGAATGATTATTCATAAAGATTTCTGAAATGGGCAAGTGACGAAACTGATTGTCTTTTCTTTGAATCATCCCACTTTTTAATAAAGTTTTGCTATTTCTTCCTGCAGAGCACTGAAGACAAAATATTGCCTATCATTTCAAATTGG